TGATCAGAGAGTGCACCAACAACCTGAGAGAACTCGCTAGGGGCAATGATGTTACCCTATGGTGGGTTCCAGGTCACAGCAACATTGAGGGCAATGAGAAGGCCGACAAGCTGGCCAAAGAGGCAGCAAACACGCCCTTCATTGGACCCCAACCTGGATGTGGACTACAAAAAAGCCACCTAAAACAAATAATCAACAACTGGGAGGCTTCAAAGATAGCCTTACGCTGGAAAGAACTTCCAGGTCACAGACAAGCGAAGAGTATGATAACTCCGTCGCAAAACAAAACCAAAGAGGTTTTATGCCTCAGCAAAGGGGATCTAAGAACGCTCTCAGGCTACCTAACCGGCCATGTGCCCCTAAAATACCACCTCTTCCACATTGGACAAGCTGAGGATCAAACTTGTCGACTATGCAACGACGAGTCAGAAACTGCTGAACATATACTGTGCAATTGCGTCGCCAGAGGCCGTCTAAGGCACAACGTCTTCGGTAAAACTCCCCTGTTACCTACCGACATAAAGGTTCAAGACCTCAGGACAATACTAAGGTTCATTAAGGACCTACATTTGCCCTAAACCTTTGGAGGGCTAAAGTTACAGTAGATCTTATAGGTCGCGGTAACGAGAGGGGCCGCCCTCCTCAGCCCGGCAGCAATAATAATAATAATAATAATAATATCTTGTGTCATAAATTTCATCAGTACGCTGTTTGCATCAAGAACTTCAGGAATGATATCCATTATTGGTTACTAGAAAATTGTTATTGGTTACGTGAAGTGAATTACTAACGACGTTGAACAGTTAATATATTGTGTGGGATTGTAGGTAACTTTTCAATTGGCCCTTTCTTCGAAAAACATGCTTCTCAGAAAACATGTACCCTTTAGCGGCCCTTACACGATCAATAGTATTGACAACGTCAGTATTGACAATACAACCATCAATCCTCGTGGTAACCAGTCTCAATACTTCACTACCTTACAAGGTCAGTATTATTGTCAATAGTTTTGTCAATCAGTTTGCTCAATAAGTTACCTTTTTACCACGTACAGGGTGAATCTATGTAGTTTTACTCGGTTATTTGCCGGTTTTCCTTTCCTCACAGGGTGTGCACATTTATTTGTGCCTCAATACCCTGTGCCTCGAATACTCATTTCATTGTGTATAATAAAATGAATATATTGACAAACGCAACAGCTTAGAACTTTTCCAAATTGTCGGGATTCTTTCCTTAATTTTGAATATACAATTCATTAGAATTCACGTAATAATTAAAAATAACTGTTGAACTATTTAATTTATTATTATATTATTTCAATAACAAGGAAATAACCTTAATAGAAAATGTTTACATTTTTTTTTATAAATCTCTATGCTCTTTTTAACGTTTTCATAATATTTTCAAAATTTTCTCCTATAGGTCTAACAACAAACTCTGTGACCTAAAATTTTAAACTATAAGCATTTTTTTAAATAATTTACATTTGACGTACTTACATGAACATGTAAAGGAGTAGATAGTAAATATAAAATTGTTTCAGCTATATCCTCTCCAGATAAATAGGGTAATTCCGAATAAATTTTCTCGATATCATCAGTTTTAAATCCGTTCGCTTGTAACCATCCAGTTCTGATAACTCCCGGCATTAAATTCTATTATTAACTTAAAATCATTAACCAAATATACAATAAAAATAATTACTTTATTACCGTAATTCGTATTTTAGAGTTACTCCTAGCCAATTCAAGCCTTATATTTTCAGTTAATGTCATTAAGGCGTGTTTAGACGAAGCATAAAAAACACTTCCTCTGATACTTCCCTCAGCGTCATATCGTCCACATACGCTGCCTATATTGATTATATAACCTTGGATGTTATTTTCTTGCATAATTCGAATTGTTTCACGACACGTGATCGCCACGCTAACGAAATTGGTGTCTAAAACCGATTTCCAAGAATCGATGTTGCCATTTATGATTGGTGTCGGTATTCCAATTCCGGCATTATTGATTAAAACATGAATCAGTCCAACGTTTTTCTCGATCCACTTAAAACCGTCTAAAATTTCTTCCGGATTTCTAAGATCGACTTTTAACGCAAACAATTTATCATTGGAGTTTTGACGGAGTTCCTCAATCTTTTCTTTTCTTCTTGCAATTCCAACAACCTAAATAAATAACGGTAATAAATTAACCCTCTGCATAGTAGGTGAATTAATCTCATATGCCATACTATGGTGGGGTTTGACATATCCCGCAAATAAAATACTATTTCTATAAAATTTTACATAGAACACGATCTCGCGCGTCTTTTTTGTTTTTGAATTCTTTTGTGTTTTAAAAGCTGGGGTATATGATACCCCACCTCGTAGGCGGAGAGTTAAAAACGAATTTATTTATTTTCTTACCTTCATTCCGAGCTTTAATAAAGCTTTTACTGTTGCTGCTCCTACACCGGAACTCGCTCCTGTTACTATAGCTACTTTCTCCTTTAAATCCATTTTGAGTACTGTTATGATAAGAAAAAGTAATAAGTTTTATATCGAATTAAAGGTGCGGTTTAGATAAAATTTTGATATTAATACTTCTCGATTTGATAACTGGGTAACAAGGGATTTATTCAAATTTATAACTGCCGTAAAATGTTTAAAGCTACAATGTATGGCGATTAGTTTAATTAATTGTAATGTGTTTTATATGGAATTATTAAGATAACATTTTTAATAAATATACTTTCTTTTGTTATTGTGTAATGTGAAATGTGTAATGAGAACTGTGGAATTAAGTATTTTCTAATTAAACATGCGCAGGCAACCAAATATACACTATTGGTTTATATACATAATAAGAATATGTGTTAGAATTGTGAGTATATAGTGAACAAATTTTAAATATTTCCGTTGTACCTTCCAGTACACGCGCTTACGATCGCTGGACAAGAGATGGCGCTACTTACAAATTATTACAGTTAAAATTTGATTTCTATCACTTTTATTATTATTAATGTATTATATTTAACAAAAACTGGAACTAACACAAGCACTATAACATTCTTCAGAAACAAGATCCGCAAGTATTCAATATATACAATTTGGCACTGAATAACAACTAAAACTAGACTAACTTAACGCTATTACTAGAACTAACACTACAACTGGTGGGTTCATGCAAAGTGTTTTAGTTTTAGTCATAGTCATAAGCGTTTGCTTTAGCTGTAGTTATAAGGAAAGGGATTGGTTCATGCAATATTTAAGCACAGCACTTTAAAGGAAAATTTCGACATATAAACAGCCGTGCCACAACTCGTGTCAAATTTAAAAAAAAAGAAATCGGGAGTGAAACTGTTTTGTTTAAACTGTTTAAAAAGAAAATTGTTGTCGCTGATAGAAATAAAAGACGACGGCGTTTTGGCAGAAGACCAATCAATAAAAATAGAGAATTAGAGGGATATTATGCCACTCTGATTAGAAACATGTTCGCATGTCGTTCGAAGACTTTAAGGAATTGTTAAGACTGGTTGAACCTTTTTTAGCAAAAACACCAAATAAAGGTACAATTTCACCGGCTCAAAGGTTGATAGTAACCCTACAGTAAGTTTTTGTTTAATTTTATATTATAAAAAAATTTAAATTATGTAATAAAATTATTGTAGTTATTTGTCAGAAGGAAGTTCTATGCAAGAACTAGCTTGGAATTTTCGAATGGGAAAATCCACTGTACATTACATAATTAAAGAGACAACAACTGTTCTGTGGGACGTACCCAGAGTGTTACCAGAGCTAATAAGATACATATTAGCCTCTGTTGAAGATACATTCTACAAACGATGGAACATGCCCATATGCAAGCACCAAAAGCATCTTCAATTATAAACATACCTTCAGCATTGTTTTAATGGCATGTGTAGATGCGGATTATAATTTCATTATAGCAGATATTGGAGCTAGTGGAAGAAATGATGCACTATCTTTAAAGAATCTTCTTTCGGGAGAGCTTTTTTAAATGGAAACATAGATATCCCTTTTCCAAAGAAATTGCCTAGAAGCAACATTATATTTCTACATTTTGTTGTTTGTGATGCTGCGTTTTCTCTAAGGGAAAATATAATGAGACCATATCCCGGACAGCACTCGTTTATCCAGGGCAAGGAGGACTGTGGAAAATGCCTTTGGTATACTCTGCCAGCGGTGGTGAATTCTACGGAGGCCAATCATAGCTAGGGTAGACATAGTAGAAAATATTGTAAAACCCACAGTAGTTTTACATCACTTCCTTCGTATTGAACGGCAAAGCGAAAGGTACTGTCCTCCAGGATATGGTGATACTATTCAGTCAGAATCAGGGGAAATTAATGGGCAGTGCGACCAACGCCACTGCAAAATATAGGACGGGTTGGAGGCAACAATGCGGCAAGAAGGTTCCGGAAGAACAGAGGCTTGTTGTAGAGATTAGGACAAAAACCATTTCAGTCGAAAGGTGTTGCATGAACAGTACTAGTATAACACAATACCTTAACTTTCCACATTTCGACTATGCCAACAACTGCGGCTAAAACACGTTGCATGAACCCACATTTAAGAGACGCGCGGCTAAACCCGAATATTTCTAGTTCTAGGCCTAGTGTTACTTCCAGTTTTTGTTCAATCAAAATATACAACAACCTCGCGCTGAATAACAACTAAAACTACACTCAGAAAAATAATTCTTTACGATTAAGAATTTTTACGTGACACTAACGGAAAAAGGGATATAGTTTTTATCCAAATGAATTGACTGTTCTTATTGAATCATTGCACCATTCAATTGTAAGTGTATCAAAATACTTAACAAAACAAGCAAAACCGTTTAATACAAATAATTTTGCTTTAGAAATGAAAGACTAACTGATAATATTAAATAATAAATCCCTTTATCTTAAAGTTACTAGTATTTACACTTAAAACTTAGTTAACGTAGTTAAATAAAGAAATCTTTAAAGTTGATAAGTAGATATATTAAAATTAAATGAACTATTTAATGTTAATATAAATTTTCATTTACTTCAAAGAAAAAATATTTTTAATTCAAAAGATTAACATTTTACCATTAATAATTCACTTTCTTTCTAGTAAATATGAAAGTTCTAAATATTAAGTACAGGGCGGTTCAAATTCGATGTCTGAATAGGCTAACTCGGAAACTATAAGAGTTAGAAAAAAAGTAGCTTACATGTCATGATCTCGTTTTTCGAGAAACTGCTAATGCCGAATACCTCAATATCATCTTTTGTTTTTTCCCTAGAGGCCAAAATTGAAAATATGGTAAAACCAACAAGTGCAATTATCTTGGTTATAAGGGGAGTATTATAACTAAGATATTGTATGGACACTTTTTTACAGAGAATTTGACGACGTAGTCAAAAAAAAATTTTCGGTTTTAAATTTTGAGATATGACAATTTTCGTTTTTTTAAATGGAAACAACCACTGATTATTCGCTTATTAAATTCGTTATTTTTTTCTGATTACAAAAATATAGGACTGAATTTAGATCAAAAGCAAGTATCTATTATTATAGTAGTTGTTGGTTGTAGAATTAAATAAAGATGCACTTGGTATTTAAATTATTCAATTTATTTCAATCAAAAGATTATATTTTAATTGTATAAATTAATAATACTTCATAAATTCATAAATTTTTTTTAAACATAAACATGATTGTAAAAACTGAAAATAAGTGGCTATGCAGGAATAAAATATACTAATCTCAATAACAAAAATAAATGAAATAAAATTAAATAAATAAAATTTTTTTTTGTAAGGCAAATGTCTTCAATACATTGCATTAAGATAAAATATCGAAGCTCCTATTTATAAAACTAAAAAATATTTCGCTCTTTTTTAATTATAAACATGATTGTAAAAACTTGAATTTGCTTTAAATGACGTAAATATAAAACGGTAGTTTTGTAGCCACCTGCCTTGCAAAGAAAACACTTAAATATTGTTAAGCTTTGAAATAAATGCGTTGACACAATTGGAATGTTGCAGTATATTATAAAAATATTTTGTAAGAAACGACCGCACTAATTTGCTTACCGGAGAAAACTGTAAATTAAAGACGTACACCAACTTAATTAGAATGTCAATTGCTTGTAGGAAAGAATGGCACTTGTATCTAACCCCATCATTATATACATAAAATTGTTCAATCTTGTCCTTTCTGTTGTAATATAGCATGTAGTAGCAAAATAATATAATAGTCTTTGGATTCTAAAAAAACGAACATCTACAAGTGTTGTACAAATAATTATTTCGCCATGCTGTAACTTTGGAAATAATTCTTTACTATGTTTGTCTTTTATATCGGATTTGTATATTTCAACAATTTTTGTTGTAAATTCAGAAAATGCGGGTATTAAATTATTATTGGGTTTATCCGGAAACAAAGTTAAAAAATCAATATGAACCTTTAAAAGAAAATTTAATTACAAAATAAAATAAATATTTTGAAAAATAATAACATACAAGTTCGTAACCATTAGTGTCATTATGTCTAGGCCATACTTTTAATAATTCCGACAACGTCTCTGTAGAACTTCGAAAAGATTGGAGTCTGTTTTCAGAAGTCCGCTTCCAATAATCTTTAATTGTGTCCCACACGAAGGGATCACAATTNCGCACTTCTAAACCCGAATATTTCTAGTTCTAGGCCTAGTGTTACTTCCAGTTTTTGTTCAATCAAAATATACAACAACCTCGCGCTGAATAACAACTAAAACTACACTCAGAAAAATAATTCTTTACTATTAAAAATTTTTACGCGACAGTAACGGAAAAAGGGATATAGCTTTTATCCAAATGAATTTACTGTTCTTATTGAATCATTGCACCATTCAATTATTGTAAGTGTATCAAAATACTTAACAAAAAAAGCAAAACCGTTTAATACAAATAATTTTGCTTTAGAAATGAAAGACTAACTGATAATATTAAATAATAAATCCCTTTATCTTAAAGATACTAGTATTTACACTTAAAACTTAGTTAACGTAGTTAAATAAAGAAATCTTTAAAGTTGATAAGTAGATAAATTAAAATTAAATGAAACACTATTTAATGTTAATATAAATTTTCATTTACTTCAAAGAAAAAATATTTTCAATTCAAAAATTAACTTTTTACCATTAATAATTCACTTTCTTTCTAATAAATATGGAAGTTCTAAATATTAAGTACACTGAATTTAGATCAAATGCAAGTATCTATTATTATAGTAGTGGTTGGTTGTAGAATTAAATAAAAATGCACTTGGTATTTAAATTATACAATTTATTTAAATCAAAAGATTATATTTTAATTGTATAAATTAACAATACTTCATAAATTCATAAATTTTTTTTTAAACATAAACATTATTGTAAAAATCGAAAATAAGTGGCTATTCAGGAATAAAATATACTAATCTCAATAACAAAAATAAATGAAATAAAATTAAATAAATAAAATTTTTGTTTTGTAAGGCAAGTGTCTTCAATACATTGCATTAAGATAAAATATCGAAGCTCCTATTTATAAAACTAAAAAATATTTCACTCTTTTTTAATTATAAACATGATTGTAAAAACTTGAATTTGCTTTAAATGACGTAAATATAAAACGGTAGTTTTGTAGCCACCTGCCTT